GAGGCGTTGTTCTTGTACATTTCCTGCGAAATTGCCCAGGACTTCTCCTGCAGCTGCTTCGTGGCGTCCTTAATTCCATCCAGGTCTTCAGTTGACAATTTCTCGCGCAGGGTGGTGATTCTCTGTCTTAGCTCATCCTTGTCAGCATCGGAAATTTTGTCCTTGAAGTCGTCTAGCTGCTTTTCCGAGCTGTAAATTAGCGTCTCTGCTTCGTTTTTGGAATCTGTCAGATTCTTTTTCTGTTGGTCCTTTTCCCTGTTCAGTTCAGCCTCTTGGACCATCTTCTCAATCTCTTCCTTGCTCAACCCACCACTGCTCTGAATGGTAATTTGTTGCTTCTTGTTCGTCATTTTGTCAATGGCGGAGATGTTAATAATCGCGTTTGCGTCCACATCGAAGGTGACTTCAATTTGGGGGACTCCTCTAGGTGCAGGGGGAATTCCCACTAAATCGAACGATCCTAACATTTTATTATCGCACGCCATTTCTCTTTCTCCTTGGAACACTTTGATACTGACCTGTGTTTGGTTGTCAGCTGCGGTGGAAAATATCTGCGACTTTTTCGTCGGGATGGTCGTGTTTCTGTGGATCAATTTGGTGAAGACTCCACCTAGGGTTTCTATACCTAGAGATAAGGGAATCACATCTAGCAGCAGCAAATCTTTTATTTCTCCTTTTAATACACCTCCCTGGATGGCTGCACCTAACGCAACTGCTTCGTCAGGGTTGACACTCTTGGAGGGATTATTTTGAAATATCTGCTTTACGGTCTCGGATACCTTTGGCATTCTGGTCATACCACCAACTAGAATAATTTCGTTAATTTCGTCTTTCCTCACATTTGCGTCTTTGATGCATTTCTCACATGGGTCGATCGTTCCTTTTAACAAATCATGACATAACTCTTCCAACTTTGCACGAGTCAACTTAATTTGTAAATGCTTTGGTCCTGTCTGGTTCGCAGTAATGAAAGGCAAATTAATTTCTGTTTGCGTCTTACTGGACAGTTCAATTTTGGCCGTTTCAGCTGCTTCCCTCAACCTCTGTAACGCTAACTTATCATTTTTCAAATCGATATTTTCTTTCTTCTTAAATTCTGCTATAAAATATTCTAATATTCTCTGATCGAAGTCTTCCCCTCCTAGGGACGTATTTCCATTCGTCGCCTTCACTTCAAAAACACCTCCCAGAATTTCCAAAATGGAAACGTCAAAGGTACCACCTCCTAAATCATAAACGGCAATAACCTTCCCGTCGCTCTTTTCTAATCCAAATGCTAAGGCCGCTGCCGTTGGCTCGTTAATAATTCGAAGGACATCCAAACCGGCAATTTTTCCTGCATCTTTTGTAGCTTGCCTTTGTGAATCATTGAAGTAAGCAGGTACTGTGATAACAGCTTGATGTACTTTCCTTCCCAAATAATTCTCAGCTGTTTCTTTCATTTTTTCCAAAACGCATGCTCCTATTTGACTTGGGGAATATTTCTTCCCCTGGGCCTCTATCCATGCATCTCCATTTGGCGCTCTAACAATTTTGTACGGTAAATTCTTTTGCTCCTTCTTAGTTGCATCTTCATCAAATTTTCTGCCTATAAACCTTTTGGTTGCATATACTGTATTTTCAGGGTTTGTTATTGCTTGTCTCTTTGCCACTATACCAACTAATCTTTGGTTATCATTAGTGAATGCTACAACGGAGGGGGTTGTTCTAAACCCTTCTGCGTTCTCAATCACCTTTCCTTGCTTTCCTTCCATAATCGCAACGCAACTGTTCGTTGTTCCTAAGTCGATACCTATTATGTCTCCAGATGCTCTGTTCAAGTTAGTCTTGCTTGTGCATATTTGGCGACTCTTATCCTTCAAAATGGTATTCTTCACACATCTTTCCAAAATTTTCACGATATCTTTCTTGTTTAGCGATGCCATCTTTACGGGGATCTGCAAGGGGAAAAGAAAAAGAGGAAAAATAACGTAACGCGATGAGGACAATACGCACGAGCATGCGCAACATGTGTGTAGAGATACAACGCATAAGAAGGGGTATATACCCCTACGCGTGCTATGCAAACACTCGAAAGGATAAACAAATCAGGAACGAATTCGAACGGGATATGTCTGCTCCCCAGCGATGGGCGCGCAAAGCGAAGCATACAGTTTTGTAGACACTACGACGAGCGCGCCTCCGCACCAGTGACGGTTGTGTCGCTTCGTTCAATGTAGGCATATCCCGTGGGACACATACAATATGTATTAAACGGTGTATTCAGTTTGAATAATCTTACGTGTCAACTGCTCTATTTTTGTAGGAGAGGTGAAAGTGGCAGCAGATTTGCAAGGAAAACTGCTTCGCGAAAAGGCTTTAATTCCGTTTGCGCAAAGGGGTGTGCCTACGTGAAGCTTAACACTTTTGGCCTTTAACTTTTTTTTTTTTTTTTTTTTGCTTCTACAAAAAAGATATCTACAATTCGGATGGCTACGTTCCAAGAAGCATACACGCATATATAATGTACGTGCAATTTTATCTATTCCGTTGGCATATGGATGTTGCCTTGGGGTTCATGAAAAACGCGGAAGAGTTGGAGTGGGTGAATATAAATGGTCATGCATTTGTGTATAAATACATTTATGCATAACAATGTGGCTACCAAAATGTTGGTTAAAGGGACTACATGTAATTTTAAAAAAAAGTGAACAGTGAACACTTATTTCTTTTCGTAAAATTGTTTCCTGTAACGTAATATTTTATGAAATAAAAAATTCCTTTCTCATGTGAGGCTGCATGTATATATAAAGTTGTACATAAGGCGCAAAAATAAAATTTGTAAAATAAACGCTAAAACGCTCTACAAAATGGTACAGGGGGGCTTCAAAAGAAGAAAAAAAAAAAATTAAATATCTCTCTTTGGTGAGTTTAAGATGAATAAATACATGAAATCGCCAAAACTGTGGAGTTCCCTTGTACTTTTTTTTCACTAATTTACAGATGTTCCGTCCCAGCTGAGGCGGCTTCTTCGAAGGGCATTACGTAGTATATATTTATATGCATATAAAATATGTACGTCATTACGGTACACCTATGTAGGGCCCACATAAAGGCACAATGTTTTCATATTGCATTCTGCACTCGCCTTTTTTTTCTTTATTTCCCGTATGGATAAAATTCGAAAAAAATAAACATTTTGTTTGGGGTGTATTCAAAATGGGTATAATTACATTTTACATGATAAAAAATTTGCATATAACACATAACATGATGTCCTCGCTCAAATGTTTAAGCAAAAATGGGGTGGTTTCCTTTCTATACAAAACAACATCGTTAAGAGTTTATTTTGTTTTTATTTTTTTTGTTCGAATGAAGCATATGCTGTGAAAGCAAAAAAAAAAAAAAAAAAGGGGCCCTCCAAAGATGTTCCCTCCTCCTGACGATTTTCGCCCCGCAAGGAACAGGGCAATCCATCCCACGGCATGCAGTTTTGTGATATGGCCCCAATGTAGTTGTTATGCATAAATGTACCATTACACGTAGGTGAGCGTTCACGCGCCTACTTTCATGGGCGGAAGCGTGCTGCCTATTCTTCTACTGACAGAAAGCGTATTTACATAGTTTGCACCTTTGATCGTATGAAAAAGGGTCAAAAAATAGCTATTTTTTCTTTAAAAAAAAAAAAACGGTAGATCCACAGATATGCATACATTTCTCCAAGCATTTTAGCCCCATCCTATTTTTTCCACCGGGCTATCAATTGCCAAAAAAAAAAAATAAACACAAATTCGCCACTTCAGTGGAGAAAATAACAAAATTATTATAGGCATCTTATTTGCTTCCCAGCGTGTACGTACTACACATATACGTATTTCTCCTTCACAGAAGATTTCCCGCTTTTTCGTTTCATAAGTGAAGCTCTTGTACACGTGCTTACAGATCAGCTTTGTGGAAAATTTTATAGCTACATAACTATTTTATTATTTTATTTTACTTTTATTTTATTTTTATTTTATTTCTCCTTGCCGTTCATAATTTTTTACTTGCGCAACGCTGTTAAAAGGTAGTCCAATCAATTTCTAGATGTTGCTTTTGTGGAAGAACATATTCCCAGTTACCGCATTACACTCTGTTTATTCTCAAAGATGTAGGTACCTATTCATTTTTACGTTGGAATGACAAAGAAGCGCAAATCTTTTCCTGTGTGCATGGGGTGGGACACACACGAAATGGTGACATTTAATAAATTTGCTCGTTTTCGATTGGCTTCATGCTCAGTGTGAACAAATTAAGGGCTTCACAATTCATGTACAATGATAGCACAACCATGTGCATTTCGCTCTGTGCCTATTGATGAGAACCCGTTCTGTGTGTAAAATGTCTCCTCAATAGGAGCAATTTATCCTTTCTCATTTATGAAAGGCGCTTGTTCAGAAATGGCTCAATAACCTCGCAAACGGTAGGGCGGCCTCTCCAAAGAGGGTTTGTTAAAAAAAACATAAGGCTTATTTTTAAAATGGCACTGAAAAGGCTTAATTAAACGAAGGAAAATCTTCGTAAATGGCTGTGCGAAAGGTGATACGCGTAACACACTATGCGTATGATATAAACATAGTTATATGTAGACACAACAACGGAGCGTCAAATTTTAAGCATCGTTAAAACTAATTAAAAAAAAAAAAAAAAAACGAACTACATAGAGGGAGAGTCTAATAAACAGCGAAAGTAAAATACGATAAATTGGGGATGCATATTTTATGTAGCCATTTATCAGACAGGAAACTGAAAAAAATAAACAAATCATGTAAAAACTGGCCGGTGAACCAACTGTTGAACAACTCTTAAAAAAGGGTACATGGCGGTAATTAAAAACGCGGGTAGTGGTTTTCCCCAATGGGAAATAATCTCGACGCTTTGCATAATCTGCACAATTTAGCATTTTTCACAAAAAAAAAAAAAAAAAAAAAAAAAAAGGAAAAACAGACACATATGTGGAATTTCATTCCGCTCCAACGTGCTCACGTTTTCTGCAAATGAACATAAAAGGTTTTACGGAACAATTCCAGGTTCATGTTATTTTTCATAATTTTATTAATCTTGTCATAAAATTTGTCAATGTAATCGTGTGTTCTCTTTTTATTATAGTTAAAGGTAACTTCCTTCTGCAGAATAATTTTCATCGTTTCTGTTACTTGAACTTTGTATTTTTTATTTACCAGTTGCAGTTTGAGATTTTCATAAGACACTTCATAAATTTTGACGACCCCCGTTTTGTTCTTCAGTAAGTCATAGTTCGTGTCATTGGTAACTTCCGATTGAATTAAATAATGAACATTCTTATTTTTATTATCTAAAGAAAGCATTAATCCAAACTTTATAATTTCATCATCGATAGGGACAATTTCGCGGTACCCATACTTGGACGTGGCCAGCACTACCTTGAAATATATGATGGAGTCATGGTAGTACGATAGGGGCAAATATTGTATGTCTTCTTTGGGAAAGTAGGAAACATAAAAGTTGAAGTCAATTCCGTACATAATTGAGTTTTTATATTTGGAATGGTACACCGTGTACACCTTCAACTTTTGGAAGAAATAGTACTCCTCTTCATATTTTTTCATTAAAAAGTTGTTAAAAAAGTGATAGTCATTGGGGTTGTCCAGGAACTGCTTCAGGTGGGCGTTCTTTAGGTCGTCTGCGATTTTGGACTTGGGCAATTTGAACACTTCGTCTTTGAATGTCCCCAGGTACACGAACAGGATTTTTTCACTCAACACGTCGCTTGGTTCGCCGACCGCTTTACCGTCCACTTTGCCATCCGAATGGTCACTAGCCTTCTTCTCCTCCGGGGTGCGGTTCTTCATTTTGCTCCTGATGTATCGCTTCATGCAGCCGTAGTAATCCTCCTTCGTGCACGTCTTTATCTCACTCAGCTGCAAATTCAACGTCTCGAAATAGGGATAAATGAACGTCTCCACATTGACGCCCTTGGACTTGATAAATAGGTAATCATTTCCATACAGCGTATCGTAAAAGAAATTCCTCTCCTTATTTGCTTCCTTATTTTTTTTGTGTATTTTCAAAGCTTTTGCAAGATACTCCATGTCTGGTACAGCATAAAAAATCTTTTCCTTAATCCTTTTTAGAGAATCTTCATAACTTAAGTTGAGAAAATCCTCGTATATTTCTTCCAACTCTTCTTCTTCTATTTCGTAAATGTCAATCACTTCTATGTCCTTTTTCGCCACACAGTCATTTTTATTTTCGCTGCACTCCTTATAGAGCCCATTAATAATTGGTATTCTCCAGAGATACTTCATACTTGCGCTCTGGAAAATGGACAAATGCTGTTTATTTTTTTCGTTAATTAGGCCATCATATTTTCTTGAACTATCGTTTCCATAGGTATAATCATGTTCATCGTCATAGGTGTCCTCGTCTTCTTCTTCTTCTTCTTCATCATCATCATCTTCGTCTTCCTCTTCCTCTTCACTTTCTTCCTCCTCTTCATCCTCCAGGTCATCCTCCTTATCTTCCTCTTTATATTCCCCTTTATGGTCCTCCTTTTCGTCCTCTTTACCCTCCCCTTTATGGTCCTCCTTTTCGTCCTCTTTATATTCCCCTTTATG